TCATTGGGTGTAGTAGGTGTATTATCAGCTGCATTGCCTTTCAGTTACAGAAGTTGAAAAATTATATTTATAACTCTTGTTTTAGAACTTACAGGTTTTAATGTTAGACAAGTTATATCTATTTTTACTCTAAAAGTATTCTCCTTCATCGTTGTCACTGGCAGAGGGTTATGCATGTTCATATCTGTCATCATTATCGTCATAATCTGATTCTGTATCGGTCTGTCTTTCACAATTGTTCTCAATTTTATTACTAAAATCAATAAAACTTTCTTGAAATTAATTTTACAGGGTACCTCATTATCACTGAGGTCAGATATATTGTTTACAATGTTCTCTAGTTCGGCCTCAGTAGGTGAGTTCGGGATGCGCACTCCAGGGTGGAGTGGAGTAAGTAGGCGTAAACGGAGTGCGCGTATGGTTTTACTCCTTTTACTCTCAGAGTTCCTTGTCAGTTGTCAATGTGACATACTAATACTTAAAACCTAATCGTACTTATCAGTAACAACCGTATAAGTTTCTTCCATATTAATGGTATGCACGGGAATCAAATAAAAAGCATTTTTAATTAAAAATTAGTCACAATTATCTTATTATCGATTTAAATCACCTTATGCGCATGACCGATTCACACTCCACTCCACGATCTCCGAACGGTCAAAGAAGAACTTTTATTTTAACTCCTTTCGTACCCGAACGCCTCAGGTACTTTAGGAGTGAATATAGTGAAAAGAGCGCGTAGACCGAACTCACCTAGTAAGATAGCGATTCATTTTAAACAAAATATTCTATTTCAAATAGGCAGCAAAACTTGAACCGATGGGTCACATCTAACAAAAAATATATAAATTAATAATAAGGGGTTGGATTGATACCTAAATTGAAAATTAACCTATTTATAAAAAATAATATTTTTAAAACATTTAACATTTATTACAATAAGCAATAGATTTACATTACATTTTCATTACATATTTATTACATTTTCATTACATATTTATTACATTTTCATTACATATTTATTACATTTTCTTTATATTTTCATTACATTTTCATTACATTTTCATTACATTTTCATTACATTTTCATTACATTTTCATTACATTTTCATTACATTTTCATTACATTTTCATTACATTTTCATTACATTTTCATTACATTTTCATTATATTTTCATTACATTTTCATTACATTTCCATTACATTTTCATTACATAGTTTCGTAATTTTGTAATTTCCCTATTTATCACAGAGTAACGAAATCAAAATCGACAGGCATTTGCAGTTTTTTTATTGTATGCCTCACCCTGTATAAATGGTAACTAAAAATATACAAAAATTAAGAACCGTTCTATATATTCAAATACAGAGAAATTGGTTTCTATTAATTTTTTAAGATTGATTTATTTATGATTCATATTTTTTGTGTCGTCATGTTTTCTAACTATGATTATTGATAAATACTTTTAATTTATTTTTTGAGTTGTTGCATTACAAAAATATTTACAAAAAAATATTCTAATTGTTTACAGTCTGATGGTATGCAAAATAATTCACTTTTTTATCAACAGCAGTTAGAAAATATAAGCAAACAAAATGATAAGAGACGCAGTGATTTTAAAATGCAATAGACAAAAATACAGTGAGTATTAAAAATTCTGCGCTAAGAATATAAGTATGAAATTGTTAGAAGTTTTTTTATGAACGTAAAAAACGGTACATTAAATACTTTGACTGCCATGCCAGATATTTATTTTTAGTCCTTATAGATCACTGATTTGATTGCGGTTTTCAAAAATATATTTAAAACTGTAGGAGATAGTAACCTAGTAGATTTAAAAAAAAAATAAATAAAAAAATATATTTTTTAATATAACCATTATTTTTTAAAAAATAATTTTCCACTTGCGCAGAAATTAAATAGACATTTTTTTGTATACATTTTTTCGATATAGTAAACTGTAAATTTAGACCTCATAAAAAAAATAACAAAAATGTTGTCTATATTTAACAAAATGTAATATCCATTGCCTACTTCTAGGAGTTTTTTTGAATATGACTACTCTGAACTGCTAAATCTCCTTCGGACTAATCATGCAATTAGGGCTAAGAAGCGACATACGTCACTCAGTACTTTGGGATGTTATTCGCGTTTGCCAAACTTCAATATTTGCTGATTCATGCTTGACATTCTTTGCTATCTCATCTGCAATTGCTGATAACGTATGTTTTGATGAAACAGAAAATGAATGGTTAACAATGCACAAACTTTTGTCAAATCACGAAGTTGTCAGTGACTCCTTCATCTTCCTAAAAGTCTGGAAACGGCCAATTATCTCGTAAATTGCTAGTCCTAATTGTACAAAACTTGGGGTATACCTATTTTAAAATACGAAAATTCCAGATTTGATATTTGAAATGTTGCCAGTTTTACCCTTTTTCTTATGTTATCAGTCACTTTGGTTTTTCAAATTCATCGCCCTGTATATTAAGTCATTATTGGAATCTCCTATTCAATACGACTTCAACCATATGTAACACTTATATTTTATGTAGTCTAGAAGGTCTTAATTAAATAAAACCATCATGGAGAAATGTGGTAGATGCATTCTATCATCGATTAGGGTACTGTCAACTCACAAATGGAGCACATTTTGAACACTTGATAAAGTTACCATTATGTTAAAAATGGTGTAATCTTTCAATTGTAAAGTTTTAATGTAGTTGAAAATAGTTTGTAACAAAAAATTAATTGAGAAAATTAGGCATTGCCACTGTTGCCAGACTTCTGTTTTATTTATTTAAGATCTTCCAGACTACATAAAATCATTAGTATTACATATGGTTGAACTCGTATTGAATACGAGATTCCAATAATGACTTAATATACAAGGTGATGAATTTGAAAAACCAAAGTGACTAATAATATAAGAGAAACGGCAAATCTGGCAACAATGCAAATATCAAATCTGAAATCTCCGTATCCCAAAATAGGTGTATCCCAAGTTTTGTACAATTAGGACTAGCAATTTACAAGATAATTGGCCGTTTCCAGATTTTTGGGCCACTCTGTATACAAAAATAAAGGTTCTGAGTAATATACAAGGTTCATATAAGCACACTACTTCTAAAACGCACCACTAGATGGCGCCTCCGGTCAGATTTGAGACTCGGATAAGTCAATGGTTTGCGACTCGGCTAAGTAATTTAACTGGGCCCACTACTTCCAACAGTCACTACGAGATGGTGTCACGTGTCAACAGTCATCTGTTAAAAGACCTATTAATGCATTTATTTTTATTTTTTATTTTAAGCCCCTCTATCATTTACACTTCAAAGTCCTGTTCTCTTTTTTTTTCAAATTTTATTTGATTGAACTATTAATTTCGAGGTCTAAGATAGTTTATTGAGTTTTCATAGTATTTTTTTCCTCCAGTGTGTAAAACTAAATGTATTTCTTTACACCATATAATTTTCCTATTATGTTACCAAAAGGAGTCCTTTCAGGTGAAGTATACCTAAATATTAGTGGGAGGCCAGTATACAAAAACCCCATTTATAAAGCATAGGTCAACGACGCAGCCTGCAGTAAAAATATCGATCTTCATACATAATATATGAATGATGTGACCATAAGAGAAAGGTACCTGTCATACATATATGAACGATGTGAAAGTCAATGTATTAAAGCTGGCTTTTTATCCTCTAAGCAAAGGGTAAACTGCTGTGAAAGATATTGTACACTAATAAATAAAAGGTACACAAATAGTATACAAATATTAGGTATATAAAAAGTACACATATTAAATGTAGTACACAAAGTACACCATTACTATATGCACTATCATCAACTACAAACATAACTTATCACTAGACCTAGAAATGTATGCACCCAAAAAGTAGTTAAATATGTGCATATATATGCCGCAAAATTCTTTAATATATGCGTAAAAAACTGAAAAATATGCGGAACATATGCATTAAGAGTAATTTGTTATTTGATCGAGATAGTTTATTAATATTTATTATTTGTTTTATTTTACAATATCTAATATAATACTTAATAATTATTTAATTATTAACTAATTTTATTTACAAATCAACATTATTATAAAACGAATGAACAATTAGATGTTTTTCTAAATTATCTGGATTAAATGATTGTCTCCTATCAGTATGTACTTGTACAAAGAAAAACTTCTTTCGACATATACAGAAGTAACAGGTGCAAACTTAAATTTTCCTGAAATATCTGGATGAATAGTATTAATATCTTCAAAGTTACCAGAATAAATATAAGCAAGGTTTCTTAAAACAATAAATCCTTCATTTTTTAAAATTATATTTGAAAATTTATGAAAAATCGTCATTCCAATATCGCCCTGGACATTTTTACACTCTGATTCAAACGTCTTAATTAAATTTAAGGAGTCACCAAAGGTAAATTTTTTTGTTCTAAATCTAATATAATTTTGGGTACAAATGCATAATTTTTTAAAAAGACTAATTAATAATAATAATAATACTCTCCCTAATTCACCCCCTTACGAGTGAATTTCAACCCCTGAAGTCCACTGAACGACTTGTGTAGGGGAAGGGACGGCTATTATTATTATTTGCCGTAGCGCTCCGGACCGACTTAAAGATGATTGATGGTGCCATTTGACTTACAGGTGAGGAAAACCCCGAAAACCTCACTCACCATCATCGAGACGGTAATGTATGGCGAATTTTTTTAATCTGCATGTCATATCAACAGAAATTGAATTTCTATTAATACTAGATGAATCATCAAAATCAAATATGATTTCTTTAATTTTTTCATAATTATATATCGAGATATATCATCCTTCAATTCATATCCTCAGAGTAAGGTTAATCAACTATATTGCTTTAAATTTTATAGGATAATTTCTTTTTAGAAAATCGTAGCAAGGGATGTAAAGGAATGTTAAGAAATACAACAAATCAAATAATAATTTTATTCAATGTCATATATTTGCACATTTATTTATGAACATATACCACCTTCCATATTTTTTATTATTGTTAGTGCAGGATTAACTAATTTTTCGAACAAATACTCGTGTTGCATGAAGTTTTCGTGGGTGAAATTAGGTTCATCTATACTATGGAATGTACATCTCGCCGAAAGTGATAAATTATTCCATAATTTTAGGGCATTCTAAAAAAAAATAAACAAATAAAATTAAAAAGTGGCTGCAAAAACCTAAACATATGATAAAAAATGCATTATTCGCAGGCAACGAGAACTTTCTTATTTAACCCCCTTAAAATGTTTTTAAAAATGTTTTGGAAAACACATAACGATATTTTCGAGATATTGCATTAAAAGGTCTAAAACAATTTAAAAAACTAAAAAAACATTAGCTAAAACTAAAAATAAGTAGCAATATCATTTTCTGAAATATTTAAGAGGTCAATATTATTCAAACGAAAGTAAACCAGATGCAGTTGAGGTAAAGTAAAAGTAATTCAATTTGGTGACATATTCGGTTTTTCAAAATTAACTAAAAATATAATTCGCGAAAAATACCTTTTAGAAATCTCGAAAATATATTGGACTCCAATTCGAAGGTAAAACTATTAAATATTATATCATTCAACATATTTTATACATTGGATAATTCATAAATTTCTTATTAAGGATAAATATTTTTAGGCACACGATAACGAACAGGTGAATTTCTGATAAAATTTTAGACGGAAAAAGACCTTTTGAAATAATATGTACACCAAAATAAATGTAGAAAATCGCCATATTGTTGATACTCAGGTCTTCATACAATAACTAATGGACCTAAATATTCATGCACCATAATTTGGTTGTTCAGTAAATAGTTTAATACTGTATAGATGAATAAAAAATGGTTTAAATTGTACTCTAAAATTCCACTGTACGATGTGTAATGGTGATTTTCAAATTAAAACAATTAAATCCGATATAGATATTGACGCAGTTGAAGGAGCAATTTGTATTGGTATAGGATTTTAGAATAGTGAAGAATTATTAAATGTTCTAAATTTACAAAAAAATATAATAAATGTCATACTCAATTTTGTGACGCATGGTAAGAGACAGCATACAAGCAAATAGAATTAGCAGCAAAAGAAGAGGTGGATTATGGATAAAAATGGAATACCCCTAATCACTGTTGTAGCTGATGGGTGTTGGTCTAAAAGATCTTATAAATCCAACTATAACGCCCCCTTTCTGGTGCTGCTGCTATACTAGGACATCGATTTGATAAAGTACTCCATCTGGGAGTAAAAAATAAATTATGTTCTATTTATTTAGCAAATAAACAAATTGAACATAAATGTTTTAAAAATTATACAGGGACGTCGACAGAAATGGAATATACAATTTGATTGGAAGGATTTAAATCAAGTGAAAAAGTACACGGTATTCGATATGCAAAAATAATTGCAGATGGCGATAGTAGCACATACAAAAAAATTTTAGATCACAGACCGTATGACGAACTGACCGTAGAAAAAATAGATTGCAGAAATCATCTTCTGGGAAACTTTTCTAATAAGTTAAAAGCACTTTCACGTGATACGCGCTTTCCAATAAAACTAAGAAAATTAGTTAGTCAAAACATTCTTCGTTTAAGAACATCTGTTACGAAGGCAAGAAAATAGTCTTGGCACTATTAATAATGTTTTGCTTTTAAAGAAAGACATAAACAATGCAATTTTTCACGTTTTTGGTGATCATAAAAACTGCGATATTTATTTACTAAAAACGAAATAACCAATTTCAGATCTAAACCTGAATTTTTTACAAGACTTTTACAAATTATACATGCTTTGTCAGATTACAGCAGAAGTCTATAACATGATGTTGATAGTAATATTGTGGAACAATTTCATGCGATAGTCGCTAAGTTTTTAGGTGGCAAAAGAATTCCAGAGGGCTCTCTTACCAAAGTAGATGTTTTGCAGCAGTTGTATCATATAATTCGACATCAATGAATTCAGAATTAAAAAAAACTTTAAACCGTACTAACCAATCCATGTAAGTAACTGAATTAAAAAAAAAAGGCGACAATTGGCAATAAAATCAAAATCCATTCGCAAATTAAAAAAAGTTATTCTGCAAAAGCCAATAAAACTGATTTAGATTATGGAGAAAATTGTACCAAACAGGATTTAGATCAAGATATTTATGAAGTAAAAAAACTTTAATTTTTAAACGAATTCCCTTCATCTGACGTTGAGAGAAATGTAATTTAGGAACGAATTATGTCACAGGCGAATAGCAGGGTTAGGCTGGAAATTCGTAGAAAAATGATTACGGCCTCACACTTTAAAGCAGTGTGTACTAGACGAATTATTACTTTATGTGAGCCTTTAGTCAAAAGGATTATTTAACAACCACCAGTCAATGCTGCTCATGGCAAAAGGTATGAAAAAATAGCACTTTTGCAGCTTCAAAAGCAGGAAGATATAGTGATTAGAGATTGAGAAATTTTTATTGACAAAAAATATCCATAGGGTACAGTTCATCAAATTTCTAGAGGCTTTCGACGGCTAAACAGAGAAAGCACTACTGACAGGCATCCCGACGGATTTACGCAATGAAAGTACACTCTGCGCATCAAGTATTTCGTTTGTGTTTTTTGCTCATTACAGTATAATAGAACCTAAGTATGGAGTTTAATAGCAAATTAAGAGGCCGCGTGATTAACAGTCAATCTCGCGAAATAATAGCCAATGTTATAGAGTTTATGAGAAGAGAAGGAAACTTTAATTCACCTTCAATACCATTTAAAAATGTAAATGATCGTGTTGCTGCAGCCACAGGAGTATCTAAAAACACTGTCGTCCGCATTTCTGGAGAGAAAAAAAGAATCGATAACCGTGAGATATCGGAATTTTCATCACCAAGAAAAACCATTAAAAAACCAAAAACAGTTAATGATATAGATGAAGCTGCACAAGAATTAAATTTTATTTTTTTATTATTATATAGCTATTTTTGTTTCTGAGTTGTGTTCATTTACAGGCTCAATTTTTTTCCGTTTCTCCTTTTTGATTTTATATGGGGTTTCAAGTTGTTTTTGACTTATTTCGACGTAAATCACAACACACTTTTTTAATAAAGCAAACAAGTGTTAAGAGGTATATGTACGTGTAAACTACAATTACAAAAAATTGATATGAAACCCATGAAAACACCAACAAAAATGTAAAGCTAGCTTCCGTACTAGAACATGGTGTCATTCGTCGAGATAATTTATCGTTTTGTTTAATAGATCAAGAAATGTAAATATTCCCCTGTTATTTTTTATAAAATTATAAAAGAAATAATTTTTTTTCTAAATAGTATAGTTTATTATTTTGTAGAAAAACAAAATTTCGAAAATTTTAGTAATGTTTCAGAAACAACCATTATTAATAATAGGTACCATTTTCCTTAATAAGGTAGAAATAAAATATAAACTATTTCCACGATTTACAAAGGCTTACAAAAAAATTATAGGTATTTCCGCTATCCTATAAAATTTATATTTTCTGACTCAATTTCAAAAGGTTGAAGGAATTCCAAAACACCTTTTATGGCATAATTATTTTCAATTCTACATACTATCTTTAGCTGCTTTTAAAAAGGTTCTAAGAAAGTCCAATCAGACCAATTTAATCCCTAAACTATTCCACACTTTTAAAATTTAATTACCTAAAAATATTAAAAACTATTTAAAATAACTTGTTTAGCAGACTGTACAATAGCTATCTTAGTCACACGTAGCGCGTTCTCTGTCTGGGCGTCGAACACCTCTAGAAATTTGATGAACTGTAAAGACGACAGTCGTTGGCACTCTTGTCCCTTGTTGAATTTTATTTTATTGTTACCTTACTGTAAAATGCTTATGGAATTAAATTTTTTTAAGAATGCGAAAGATACAGTTCAAATTTTACGTTATCAATACAACATAAAAATTTTAATTTTGCTTTGTATTTGATAATCAAGAAATAAAAAGAGATAGTCAGAATTCACAGTAGTTGGCACTGCGTTAACAGTTATTGAGACCTTATGTGCATAGTTATTGGCACCCCGATAAAAAATATAGAAACACATAAGAAAAAGCATAGGTACTTACTTTAAAAGTGTGTATTTAAGACAAAAAATATGTGAAAACAATATTTACTAAAATTATTTTATACATTTGCTACAGGTAAATAATTTTGTGAAAAAAGTTTCTTTACTTCGCATTTCAAATGCAGTGTTCTGGTACACGACGAGCATCTTCTTCCAAATTAATTTAAATTAATATTGTCCCCATAAGCGTAGCAAATTCCTTTGAATAAAAATTTTTTTGATGGACTGTCTGAATAATCAGAATTTTGGGTTCAGGAATATTTTTCTTGGCAGCAGGCAAAGGTGTATTCTCTTTTGCATCTTCAGATTCAGTAAGTTTTACTGGGGCTTTATTGATGGTTGAATTGCTTTTTTTATTTGTTGTTGTTTTATTTTCTAATCTTTTTCTATTTTCTGTGGCTTCTTCTTCAATTTTTTTTGTTTTTTTGCCTCCGAGGAAATAACATATGGAAACTTTTCAGTTTTTCTAATGTTTTTTCGTTTTGGTGTCTCTGGCCAAAGAATAATTTGACTAATTTAAGAGGGAGTTTTATTTTCAGCGGATGTTGATGGTAATGAAGCTATTGCTACTGTGTCTGTGTTAGAGATTTCATGTTAATCTTTAAGCCTTAGTTATATTGTTTTTATGTACTGTTCGCTAGTTTTTGACTTTGATGTAATGTCGTAAAAAATAAAAAAGTTGTCAAAAGTAAAAACGGTGTATTTTTACATTCAAAAGTAAAGTCTTTGGATAACTGTGGCCTAAATACTTTCCAGCGATAGCGACTCTCCTACAGGTTATGGGCCCAGAAGGAATTAATTTAGAAAATATGTCGTCCCTTCCTCCTATTACCAAATTATCAAGATTGGAAGTATGGCATGGAGTTGTACCTGAAAGATTTGAATGTATGGAATGCTGTTGATGGATATCCTCCTGATGACAAAACTGATGAGGCTACAAGAAATAGAAGCGACCAGAGAGCCTTAACCAAAATAGGTTTAATGGTTATGCCTTATTGTTATCCTCATATTAGGAGTTGCAAAACTGCTAAGGACATGTGGGGAATTTAGAAAAA